GTCCTTATGTGTGCCTATGTATGTCTATGTACCCTTAGAGTATGCGAAGTGCCTGTAGAAACATACCGTACGGATCTGGGAGGGCGTGTTTGTCCTTATGTGTGCCTATGTATGTCTATCAACTCTTGAGAGTATGTGAAGTGCCTGTGGAAACATACTGTACGGTTCTAGGAGGGCTTGTTTGTCCTTATGCGTGCCTATGTATGTCTGTAACTGTACCTGTACGTGCAGGAAGAGTGTTTGTGGCATCGCCTTAAAATTCACTACCCAATTGACTAAACCCAAATCAATCACTGGATAGATTTGGGAGATTTTCTTAATCCAGACTCAGATCCAATATTACTTTGACACCAATGAGTACCTCCGCTCATCGAGTCTACGCGTATTCTCATTGAGTATCAATTATGGCCTGAATTCTAGATTATGGCCCATATATCACCTGGATTCTCAATGAGTCCCAATTATGGGCTGAGCCTTAATTCTAGATATGCCCCATATATCACCTGGATTCTCAATGAGTTCCAATTATGAGCTAGGCCTGAATTCTAGATATGCCCCATATATCACATGGATTCTCAATGAGTTCCAATAGATATGCCCCATATATCACCTGGATTCTCAATGAGTTCCAATTATGAGCTAGGCCTGAATTCTAGATATGCCCCAAATATCACATGGATTCTCAATGAGTTCCAATTATGAGCTAGGCCTGAATTTAGATATGTCCCATATTTCATTTGGATTCTCAATGAGTTCCAATTATGGGCTGAGTCTTAATTCTAGATGTGCCCCACATATTACCTGGGTGCTCAATGAGCTCCAATTATGAGCTAGGCCTGAATTTAGATATGTCCCATATTTCACCTGGATTCTCAATGAGTTCCAATTATGGGCTGAGCCTTAATTCTAGATATGCCCCACATATTACCTGGGTGTTCAATGAGTTTCAATTATGAGCTAGGCCTGAATTCTAGATATGCCCCATATATTACCTGGATTCTCAATGAGTTCCAATTATGGGCTGGTCGAATTGTAGATATGTCCCAAATATTACCTGAATCCTCATTGAGTCCCAATTATAGATATATCTCAACTATTCCTTGAATTATTAAAGAGCCCCAATTATGGCCTGAATTCCATCCCCCCCCCATTTTTCTCCTCCGTTCAGATGAGAGATATGGACTCGCCCGGGATCCGTCACGCTCGCGTAGTGCAGACAGAAAATGAGACTATGGATGCACTTCGATCAGCGCTGGCTGTGTATGCCAGGAATATATCGCACGATGACATGTTTGGTACTTCCCATGCCAACGGCCCTTTACAGTCGAAGAGGACAGGTCAAGTGCACCCGAAAAATGTCGGAAAGGACCAGGTGTCGGGTACCAGCAGTGGGTCGAGCGGGGATCATGGGGCCAAAATTGGCGGGGAAATCAAAACCAATGAGAGTAAGGCTACACACGCGCAGGATCAAGGGATTCACACACAGGCACAGAGTTGGGGTATGGCTTCTGAGGAGAGTTGCGTGCATCCAGGAACACATGCAAAACGAGAGAGACGTGGAAGTAGGGCTCGAAAAAGTGTCGGAAATATATATCGGGATGTGTTACTATCTCACCATATACCCGATAGTACTAAGTCTAGGTCAAGGTCGCCATCGTCGCCAGCGGTATCCAAACGTAACTGGACAAGGGAAGGGGGTGATATAGAGGAACATGCACACACAGACACAAACACAGACGCATACACATTTAGAGATGTCGGTTCGGATGCTTTGACTGGTACACTTGGGCCGCAGAACAGTATTACAGAAGCGCGCACGGATACCGCGGACAGTTCGGTATCGCGGACGGTGCCGATCACTGAGGGGATTGAGTGCGCACACTGCCAAGGGACAGGCAAGAAACCATCTCCGGCAGACGACCCGTTATGTGCATGTACCTGCGGAGAGGCTACACGTAGGGGTGGACCGGAACTAGCAGACAGAGAACCACTCTCTGGGGTGGAGGTGAAAGTACTTAGAAGTGCACAAAGGCAAATGCTCTCGCTCATGGCGCTGGATAGTTTCCCGCGCTTCCTGAATAGCGGGTTGGGCACGGAATTTGTCGAAAGGTGTGTAGGAGGTTGAATGGATAATTGCATGTGCAGATAAATGC